GGGTTTGTGGTACTGCCTGGGCTCCACACTGTGAAGACTCTTGCACTTAAAAAGCAGCTAAAATACCAAACATTGAACTGAAAACAAACAAAACTCACTGCCATCCAGTCGATGCTGACGCACAGCGTCCTCTAAGACACGGTACGACTGCCCCTGTGGGTTTCTGAGACTGACTCTTCACAGGAGTAGAAAGCCCCACTTTTCTCCCCAGGAGTGGCTGGTGGTTTCAAACTGCTGACCTTGCAGTTAGCAGCCGGGCATGTAACCACGCCACCCGGGCTCCTAACCAAACTATGGACAGGTGAATAACACCAGGAAGGAGAATGTTTTGCCCACTTTGTGGCTTGATTTGCCACCCCTCTAAACCCAAAGCCTGTAGGCTTAACCCCCCCAGCTTTCTACCCTAGTTTCCTCGGCCACACCTGGACACGGGACTGAAACACCGCCGGTGATGTAGTGCAGCGAGACCCCGGGGACTCACCCTGAGACCTTGCTTCCTGGAGCGGCCAGCTGCCTGGATAAGGACATTGGGGCTCTTTCCTGGGACATGAAGATGGCATTGACCCCCTGATGGTGACCTTCCTGATGCCGTCTTCTTTTTCTGTGGAGATGCTGTGACTTCTTCCCTCCAATCTTGGCCCACTGGACATGTCTCCAAATGAAGCTCCATCTCTTCTTGGGAAGGGGGTCTAACGACTACCTTTCACTCTAAACCCAACCCAGCCCATCACCATCCTATCCAGGGGTGGGAACCTGTTTTTTTGTTTTTGTTTCACCAAGGGCCATTTGGATGTTTATAACATCATTCATAGGCCACACTGGTCAGTCATTTAATTAACTGGTGGTAAAATCAAACAAACAAAAAACTGGTGGTGTAGTGGTTACATAAGAATCCTAGTGGTGGAGTGGTTACCAGGGGGGCTGCAATCCGCATGGTCAGCCGTTCAAAACCACCAGTGGCTCCTCCGGAGAAAGACTGGGCTTTCAACTCCTGTCAGCAGTGACAGTCTCAGAGACCCACAGGGGTGCTGTGGGTGAGTCAGCACGGACTCGGCGGCGGTGAGTCTGGTTTTGGTTGGCCGTGGTCATACGTTGGGCCGATAACTGCAGGGTTAGCCGTTCTAAGCCATCAGGCTTGGTAAAGTATAAGGGCGTAACCACTACCAAATAAAACCAAACTCAGGCCTTTTCCCGTCCGGAAGTTTTATAACATACATGTATTGTGAGGGGGCCTCATTCGATCCGTAAGAGTGCTTTAAGGTGGTGACCCAGTGGGTTACATGCTGGCTCTCTAAGGCGTTCTGCTCAGCAGCCTCAGAAACCCCAAGGGGAGTTCGTCTCGGTCCTGTGGGGTCAGTGGGATCAGAATTGACTTGGAGACAGCGAGGTTAAGTGTTTCAGTGGGCAATGTCGCTTCTAGTGCTAAACCCAACTGACCTGTTCTTGAACCCCGGATTCCTCTGGGTCGGAGTGTGTTGTCCTGGGTCTGAGACCAATGAGGAAGGAGCGTGGATTCTTCCGCCCCGATGTTTCAAGTTCAGAGGACCTTGAGGAACGTCCCCAAGCCAAAACACATGGGCTCAATCACACCCCACATCTAGTTCACGTTTTACCTTGTGACGCCTTACAATTTACCTGGGTCATTTTAAAACTTCTCCCCCACCCCAGCCCCCCAGCAAGGATCATGTGTTTTCCTCTCCTGTAAAAAGGCCGTGATTTAATTCCACACCCTGAAGCTGCAACTCTTACTCACTGACCAGCTTAGAGTAGTCTTGGGAGCAGGTGAAACCAGGCACCTGTGACCTCGAGTTGAACCCAAGAGCAAAGAACACCCCCTGGCACAGGGTTCAAACCTGAGCCGCCCTGCTCATGTGCACCATCCCATCATGATGACACCCCACCCCAAAACCGTTACCACTGACACCGACTTTATAACATGTTGCACGGGCACCCATTTACCATAACCCTACCCTGTGAGCCTAATTCCTGGGTTCGGCTGTTCTTTGTGTGAATAAACATAAAGTCCTTCCTGCCTAAACTCTCTTAAAAGCCTCTCTTTTCCCCTTGTTAGGAGCGCTGGGGCACAGTGGTTATGAGTTGGGCTCCCATCTTGAACGTTGACAGTTCGGTAACAGGTCTGCGGGAGAAAACAGGACTTTCTTCTCCCGGGGCTTTATCCCCCCGTGAAGACTGGCAGTCTCAAAGCCCACGGGGGCATTCTGCAGGCGCTCAGGGGTTGCTATGCGTTGGCACTGACTTGATGACAGCGAGTCTTGTTTTGTTCATGGCTGCAGGTTAGGCATTGGGCTGCTCACCGTGAAGGCAGCGGTTCAAGCCCACCAGCTGCTCTGGGAGAGAAAGAGGAGGCTGGCCACTCCAGTAGAGATCTACAGCTTCGGAAACGCTGCACAAGGAGGGTCGTGAGGAGTGGGGGCCACCTTGTGGGCACTGGGCAGGCACTGGGCATGGTTTGGGCCTCCCCACAAACGAGCCCTGGTGGCTGGTCGGATTACGCACAAGGAAAAGGGGTTACCTCCTCGGAAACCCTACGGGGGCAGTTTGACGCTGTCCTACAGGGTCGCAGCGAGTTGGAACCGACTCCACGGCAGTGGGTTTGGCCATCCCACTTCGCCGTGCAGCCGAGCGGGAGGAAGGAGGGAGAGCCCGGGTCACCCGCCAACTGGTTCCGACGCGCCGAGCGCTTCCGCGGACCCCGCTGCGGAACGCAGCGCACGGCCCAGAGGCTTCCGGTCGGGCGGAATTCGCAAGGCGACTCCGCGGGGCGGGACTTCCTGTGTGGAGCGGAAGTGGCCGCGGCAGTCTCGGGAGAAGGTGGTCCGGCCGGCGGATGCAGGCGGCGCGGCATGTCGTGTGCGCCCTGTCCGGCGGGGTGGACAGCGCCGTGTCCGCGCTGCTGCTGAAGCGGAGAGGTGAGGCGGCTGGCCCCCCGCCCGCCTCTGCCCTGTTCTCTGTCCGGCGTGGCCTCGGGCAGGTCGCCCTTGTGCGCGGGGATGGGGAGGGGTCAGCGGGCCCACGGCCTCACTTCTGCAACCTTCGTCCTCCAGGTTCCTCACTTCTATACGACCCCTCGCCCTCTCCCGCCCCCACCTCTGGGAGACTCACCCTCCAGGCCCCTCATCTCTCAGACTCTCAGCCTTCAGGTCCCTCACCTCTGTGTGCCTCTTGCCCTCCCGGCCCCTTCCTCTCCATGACCTTCAGGTCACTCATCTCCGTGTGACCCCCTCCCCCCTCCACTGCCCTCACTGCTCTCTCCTGTGCGGCCCTCGCCCACCACTTGCTCCGTGGGGCCCAGCACCCAGGCACCCGTATCTCTTGTGGAGAAACTCCCAGCCTGCACTTCGCAGTTGTCTTCACTGAGCTTTGGAGAGGCAGCAGGGGAGCAGAACGAGGCCTAGGGCATGACTCCAAGCTGAGGCGCAGTCAAGACAGCACGTGGGATCGAACACCTGAGGTGGGGGCCGGAGAAGTCACTGCCTTCTTATTCACCGAGGGACAAACTTCCCTTTACTGCCTTCTCATTCACCGAGGGACAAAGTTCCCCACAAGAACTGGCATTTCTTCCCACCCTGCGAAGGAAACCCGTCCTGGGGAGTCGATATGAAGTTCTCCACCAGTGTGTGCCTGGCTCATGCCATAGAGTTGGTGGCTGACCTCTTCCCCACCACCTGTGCTGAGGCACTTGGGATGCATCGGGCTGAATGTGCAGGGGCCTGACATCGGACAAGATAATGATGCTCCCCTTTGTAGAAGGGGGTAACACCGGCTCCTGCCAGGATTCAATGACCGAATGTACCTGAGGGGCTCCCCTCGACCAAAGGAGCCTGATAGAACAGTGGCCCTCAGCTGTTTACCCAAAAGTCAGTGGTTCAAACCCACCAGCAGCTCTGTTGGAGAATGATGTGGCAGTCGATTCCCATAAAAATGACAGCTGTGGGAACTCTGGGGGAAGCCCTCTGTCCTTCAGGATTGCTGGGCCAGAGATCAAATACTGAAAATACTCAACGGCAGCAGATCGTCGTCAGGTTTTTGTTGAACTGGTTCTGAGTCAGAGCGACCCCTTGTGTTAACAGTGTAGAGCAGTCCTGCACCATCCTCACAATTGTTCCTGCATCCGAGCCCGTGGTTGCAGCACTGTGCCAGTCCATCTCCTTGAGGGCCTTCCGCTTTTTTGATGATGTGCTACTTTACGAAGCATGACACCCTTCCCCATATTGTTTTCTGACCTTGGTGACACAGTGGTTAAATGCTTGATGCTGCCTGAGAGGTTGGTGGTTCAAATCCCGTCAGTGACTCCACAGGAGAAAGGCCTGACCATCCACTCACATCAAGATTGCAGCATAGGAAACCCTGCCGGGGTGCTATGAATCAGATTCAACTTGATGGCAACAGGTTTGGTTTTTCTTTTTGTTTACCCCAAACCAGCCCATATTAGGTATGCAGAAAGTGGTGGTGGTCTTGAGAAGCCTTGAAACACTTACTGATGAAGATCAAGTACAGTCAGCCTTCAGTATGGATTACGTCTAAAGAAAACATTAAAAAGAAACCCACAACTGGACCAACTGGTAACTATCGTGTTACATAGAAAGAAAGTCTAACTTGTCAAAGATTTCATTTTACTTGGATCCACAGTCAACCTCTGTGGAAGCAACAACCAGGAAATCAAGCTGACGTAGTGCACTGTGCGAATATGCTGTCCAAGGCCTCTTGAAAATGTTAGAGCAAAGGTGTCACTTTGAAGACAGGTGCACCTGACCCAAGCCATACTACTTCAGTTCCCTCATGGGCCCGCGGAAGCTGGCAATGAAGAAGGAAGCCTGAAGAACAGGTGCCGCGTTGAACGGTGCTGTTGGCGGGGAATACTGAATGAACTGCGGCCTGCCCGAGAAGGAACCAGTCTGTCTTGGAAGAAGTCTCGGCAGAATGCGCCTTAGACGTTAGGATGGTGAGACTTTGTCTCAGGTCGTGTAGACATGTTCTCAGGAGACCAGTCCCTGGAGAAGGATGTGCTTGGTAAAGTGGAGCATCACCAAAAGAGAGGAAGTCCCTCATGGAGACGGATTGACGCGCTGCAGCCATGGGCAGATGGAGCAACAACTGTGAGGATGGCCCAGGACCGGGCTGTGTTGTATTCTACTATACATAGGGTCACTATGCGTCAGAACTGACTCCACGGCACCTGCCTATAGCAATTGTACCATGGTTAGCAGTCCGTTGCCCCTTTATTACATTGAACTTAGTCTTCTCCACCAAGAAACCTCATATTTATCATATAGAGTAGGTACCTATGTACTTAGCTATGATATAGAAGGTTAAAGCTGGTCTTCCCAAAACTTGCTTGGGCTCTTAATCACAATAGAAATGGAGAGGTAGATTGTATATGTGGTACAACCCTTATACTGCAATAGCTCAAAATCTAATTCCCTTTACATCTGATAACGCAGACTCTGAGTCTTAGAATGCAGTTGGAAGTGGCCTGTGCGGCTAACTTTCTGACACCGGGGGTCTCCCTTTGCTCTGGGAGACGCTGCTGCACGTGTCCATCTGCTCAGCACGCATTTGCCGCTCTCTCCTGTGTGGAGGCCTTGTGCTAGGGGTGGCACGGCCCGCTGGGAGCTGCCTGGCACTCTTCCAAGGACTTTGTGTGCTCTCTGACCTCGGCCGTCCATCCCCAGGTTACCAAGTGACGGGAGTATTTATGAAAAACTGGGATTCCCTGGATGAGCATGGTGTTTGTACTGCTGACCAGGACTGTGAGGATGCCTACAGAGTGTGCCAGGTTCTGGACATCCCCTTCCATCAGGTGTCCTATGTCAAGGAATACTGGAATGACGTGTTCAGGTGAGTGCTGCGGACACGACCCTGGAAACCGTCCCAAGGCAGTGTGAATCCTTGTGAGATGAAGGACGCCCCAGTTGGCAGACGACAGATCTCCCTCTATGTCAGGGCAATGCCTGGATCCCAGAGTGCCACTAGACCCACTCATTCCTGCTATTTTGCCACCGACCAGAAGTCTCCTCAGTGCTTTCTTAAACCTTGCAATGTTTCTGTTGCCAAAATCTGACAGGGCAGCAAAGACTGGTTTCCTCTGGGAAGTGCCACGCGGTGGGGCTTGATGCCTGTGTAAGATGCCATAGGCCAGTGATTCAGGGAGAGCCGAGAGAGTCATCTCCCACGGTGCCTAAGAACCTTAAAGTCCCATCCAATCCCAACAAGTATGTTAATAGAACCCTGGTAGCATAGTGGTTACATGTTGGGCTGCTAACTGCGAGGTCAGCGATTCGAATCACCTGGTGTTTTGCTGGAGAGAGATGAAGCTTTTTACTCCCACAAAGAGTTGCAGTCTCAGAAACCCCCTGGGACAGTGCTACTCTGTCCGACAGGGTCCTTGTACATCGGAAGTGACTTGATGGCAGTGAGTTTGTTTTTTTTGGTGTGGTACTAAAGGAGTCCTGGTGGCGCTCTTGGTTAAGCATTGGACAGCTAACAGCAAGGTTGGCATTTCAACCCACCAGATGCTCCTAAGAGATACCCTATAGACGGCTACTATGAGTCAGAATCAGCTCAGTGGCAGCAGTAGGTACTAAGGGAGGGACCTCTGACAATTCGGCCCCTGGGAGCCCTAATGGGCTCCATGGCAACCCCACAGGAAGGGGCGCTATTGTCAGGAGTGTCTGGTACAGCACGGCACGCTTACACCGTCACTCACTGCCCCTGTGGGCTTTTGAAGCCATAACTCCACATGTAACCTACTACGTCATGAGGGCTCCCTAGTAATACTGTCGTAAGTATGTTCGTACTCTATTCTACTACTAATATAATAATCCTGTGGTACTATCCTACAGTCTAGCAGCCCCGGTGGAATTGTGGGTTGCACGTTGAGCTGCTAATCACAAGGTCAGCAGTTCTAACCAACCAATTCCAAGGGGGAAAGGTGAGACTGTTGGCTCCTGTGGAAATTTATAATCTTGGAGACCCAAAGGAGCAGTTCTATTGTGTCCTATTAAGGGTCACTATGAGTGTAGTGTAGTGTATTAACAGTGTCATGTAATATAACAGTAATAGTATAGTATAATATAGTAACAGTGTGTAATGTAGTGTAGTGCAGAAGTAGTATGGTAGAGCACAGTAATAGTAGTAATATATAATAACTGTAGTGTAGTATAAGGAGCTTTGCTGGTGCAGTGGTTCCACATTAGACTGTTAACCGCAAGCTTAGCAGTTCAAAACGACCTGCTGCTCCTCAGGAAAAAGATGGGGCTTTCTACTCCTATAAATAGTTAAGGCCTCGGAAACCCACAGGAGCAGTTCTACCATTCTATAGGGTCGCTTTGAGGTGGCATTGACTTGGTGGCAGTGGGTTTGCGTTTTCTGTTTGTTTGTTTTTCGAGTAGTGTAACATAGTGTCATACGGTATAGTAGAGTAGTAGGATGGTGTGATAGTGTGGTATACTACTACAGTGAAGTGTGGTATTATGTAGTAGCAGTATAGTGTGGTAGCCACTCACTCACTGCCATCAAGTTGGTGCTGACTCATAGTGACCCTATAGGACAGGTAGAACTGCCCCTGTGAGTTTCCAAGACTACCTTTACAGGAGTAGAAAGCACCATCTTTCTCCCTTGGAGCAGCTGGTGGTTTAGAACTGCTAACCTTGCAGATTGCAGCCGAATACGTAACAACTACACTACCGGGGCTCCTAGTACAGTAGTAGTGTAGTATATTATAGTGTAGTATATGGTAGTATTGCAGTGTAATGTAGAATTGCATAATAGTAGTATAATATAATAGTAGTACAGTATAGCGATGGTGTAGTGATGGTTTAGTATGGTAGAGTGTTAGTACAGTGTCGTAACAGTACAGTATAGTGAAACCTGTGATTGAGAATTGGACAGCACTGCCTTGTTTTCTTGGATTCCCACCTCTGCGATGGCGC